GTAAGAAAATGGAAAAAATATACAATGAAAATAATATAGGAGTGGCCATAGTGATATAGAAAAAAATGGACTTCATGGTATTTCACAAAGGCCAGTGTTGTGGCCAAATAGGTTAAGCCACCTCCTGTAAAGCTTGCAACCCATATCTGAGAGCTGGTTTGAGTTCTGGCCATTCTTCTGGGACAGGTCCCTGCTAATGCACCTAAGAAAGCAGCAGAAGATGGCTCAAGTACTTGGACTCTATAACTTTATGGAAGACACAGATGGAATTCCTGCTCCTGGTTTCAACCTGGTTCAGATCTAGATGTTGTGGTCATTTAGGAAGTGAATCAGCAGGTGGAAAATTTCTCTCCTTCTCTCACCATGTCTGTTTTTAAGTAAATAAATAAATATTTAAAAAATGATAAGTAATCAAAAAATTCCTGAGTCAAAGGAAATAAATAACATAAGAAATTTAAAAATGTTTAGAGCTGAATGACATTGAAAATTCAATCTGACAACATCTGTGGGATGCTGCTACAGTAGTACTAAGGGGAAAATGTGTAGCTTTATGTTTTTCTTAGAAAAGAAGACAGATTTAGAATAATTAAAACAAATTATTCTGTATTTTATGGAGCTAAAAAGAAAAATATCATTAAATTCAAAGTAGGTAGTGAATCAGTAAAACTGAAAATAGATAAACAATGTAGAAAATCACAAAGCTTTTAAGTATTTTAAAAGAACAAGTTAATGAGCTCCTGCCAAGGTTGATTAGAAGATGCAACCTACAAAGGAATGAAAGAAGGGAAATTAATATAAATTCTAAATATGTCAAAAGATAACAAAAGAATATTATAATAATTTTACAGACATAAACGCCACAACAATAAAGGAAAAAGCAAATATTTGTGCATACAGATACTGTATATAAATTATACCTTACTAAAAAAACAAGCAGAAAAACTAACTTTGCATTAAAAATCTTAATACTATTCATCATGTTGGCCTATCCTTTAGCAAAAGTCCCCAAAAGGTTATGATGTATACATAATATGTACAATTGACTGTAGTTGATTTACCAAACTTCTTGACTCCAAAACTAACAGGAAAGGAACAATAATGAAGTAATCTGCATTCTGTTCGGGCCACTACATTGTTTTTTGTGGTCCACAACTGGAGCCAGAAAGCCATCTGGAAATGCTGTGAGAGGAGCATTAGTGGCAATTAACAGTGATGTGTGTTTACTGTATAAGTTGAGACTCCAAAGCCAACAACTGCAAGGCATTTGAGAATAGTCCAATTCCACAGAAGCTATTTTCCAAGGAAGCAAGGAAGTCAGCAGTGTAGAGCTGATGTTGAGCTATTTTTGGGTGGTGGTAGAAGTTGTTTTTACAAAGTGAAAATATGGCAGACATTGCATAACCCCAAGGGGAATTTTGCAGTGAGAATGTCAGTATGATGCATGGGATGAAAGCTTGTGGAAATGCTTCTTGATGTGCTTCTATGCTCATCCTTTCATGTTTCATCCGTAAATATGATCAGAATGTCACAATACAGCCAGAACCCCAGAAAGGAGTCTTCATGAAGTGTAGGAAAATTCCCAGGACTACAGAAAACCCAGAGAATAAGGAGATTAATTCTCCCAACCCACTACCCCTGCCATCCAACATAGTAGGCTGCATGGAGTATAACCAATAAATAGTAGTGGCAGTGAATGGATGATGGATGAATGCACCCAAACAGGAATCATTCATTCAATAATCATGTATTCTGTGTCCTGTTATTAAGTGGTTATGGAAATTGCAAAAGAAACATGAAGATGTGACTGGGAAACCCTTTACTTCTAAACAGAAGCACTGGCAGAAATGTGAAACCACCAAGGAAAATACGAGCTGTTTAATAGCAGCCTCCCTTCCTAATATTCCCAGCCTCTTGTATTTCCCAGCAAGATAACATTTCATTTGTTAATAATTGAGCCTTCAGTGAGGTTCTTATCATCTTCTGGAAAGTCTTTCTTCTGATTTTCTTCCATTTCTAAGACAGCATAGAGAATACACCATTATTAGTAGTTCTATTGTCCCAGAATTAAAAGGGATCCACAATTCCCATGAAACTGTTTTGTTTCGATGCTGTGGGTGTTTTGATAGGGGGTAGGGAGCTGGGAGCACAAGCCACTTGATCTTTTAAGAGGTAGAGGTATATCAGGGAGATTGTGATCACTGTTTGCTAATTTCTGGTTTGTACCTTGCCAGACACAAAGAACCAAGAATTGGACACTTTCCAAATAGCCCTTGCTTGCTCTGGTTCCAAAAACATAGACAACTCAAGAAAATACTTGTAAAGAAAAAGGAAATGGGCTTAGAGAAAATACCCCAGTTCCCAGACTCTGTTTGGCAGGAAAAAATCAGTGAAGCCAGGGAAGCTTTTCCAAACCCCCGCTACGGTGTTGGGTTTTTTCTTTTTCCTTTTTTGGAGTTTCAGTGTTAGTACCATACTCCAATTTCAGTGTTGTCCATGACCAATGAACAAATTCCTGTCTTTCAATATTCTCCCACCTAATTAGTAGAAATCAGTCTCTCCCCCACAGAAGAATGTCTGTTGTGTTCATGTACTGGTGCAGACAAGGAGATAGATTGCGGACCCAGACACAGCCCAGCTCTCATGCAGCTTAAAGTCCAGAGCAAAAAGCAACAACTAAACAAAGAATGACATGGTTCAATGTTTCTTTTACAAATGATTTGAATATTGTGAAGCAACAGCCATAGGTTGCGCTGAGAAGTCTGATGAAGGGAAGCAATTTGGATTGGGGATGTCCAATCAGGCTACTTGGAACAATTTGAATTTTAGTTAAGACTGGGGCTGTATTAGAATTGGCTTGTGAGGAGGCAGTCAAATAATGCCCTCAAGCAGTAGTGACTGCCTCTATAAAGGGTTTGCTGGAGAAAGGAGCTTAGGAAGACCAGAGTAGTTAAGGTGAAGGAGGGGTGGGCAGTGGGGGAAGGCAGTGCAAAGACACAAGAGATGAATCTGCACAGAACTACATACGGTACACTGCATGTAGGCACTGCAGAGCCATGGCAAGGGTTTTGAGTGTTAGTCCAACTGCAACAGGCAGCAATGGAAGAGTATTGAGCCAAAGGAATAATAGCATGATTCCATCTGTACAGAACAGCATGGTAACCATGTGCATAGCAAACTCAAGGAGGAGACAAAACAGTCAAAGGACTGTCAGCGACTGTCCCAATGGTCTAAGCAAGATCTGATGCTGGCACAGATCCTGGAGTTGGCAGAAGAGTCAGTGAAATAGTCTACCTCGAGAGACATTTGGAATAGGACCATTAGAATCTGCAGATAGAGTGGGGAATAGAAGAGGAGAGGGCAGTCTGGATAGAGAGAGGGCCCGGAAAGGCTTCCAGTGTCTGACTTGGCTGGCTGGACATATATGCTGACATCTGGACACTGAGATGGTCAAACAGTAGTACATTGCCCAGAATCTCAATGACCCAGTCGTGTGAGAAGCCACGTCCTCTGCAGTTTATCTTTGAAAATCTCCCACCCAAGGCCACCCGATCACATTCATTTTAACAAAAGGTTAATGCTTTTCATGAGAATTCCTCCCCCAAGCAACTGCCAGGGTAAACTGTATTGTTTCTTTCATTGCTTCATTCACAAGAGAGCAAGAGTGTACACTATGGATTGAGAGCAGGCCTCTGGGATTACATCCCAGCTCTGCCTCGAGTAGTGGAGGAGCCTTGGGCAAGTTCCTCAACTTCTCTGAGACCATTGCTTTCTCTGTAGGTAGGAGCTAGCAGTAGTGTTTACGTAAGACACCATCCTAAAGCATTCCTTCCCTTCTGTGCAGAAAGCAGAGCCTGGTCCACCCCGAGCACCTGGCTGGTGTTGGAAATCACCTCACAGGTGCTATTGAAAGCCTTCCCAGTCCTGCTCTGTGCTGGGAGGGAGGCTGTGGGGCAAAGTGGAAGATCTTTACAGAGCCAAACAGATTTGACTTCAGGTCTCTGCTGTCCTGCTTTCTGGAGCCCATTTTCTCAGCTGCGGTGCAGGGATAGTCAAAGCCACATTAAGTGTTAGTGTGAAGATGGAATCAAAAACTTTGTGCAGTGCCCTGTATGGAGCAGATAACAAATGAATGTTGAGTTCTTTCTCTACTCACCAGGGTCTTCCCTTCCTAGCTAGAAAAGCACATCACCCCCTATCCTTGAGGAGACCCCAATAGAGGGAAGACAATTTTCAACCTTTTCATAGGTTTGTAGTTTGTGGATTTTGTCTCTTTGTTGTAGTTGTAGTTGTTGGAAGTTACATTTCTTTCTTGGCCTTTCTAACATGATATAGAGCCATTTATGGACATTCTACATCTCAGAATGGTCCATTGAGATTGGATTTAGCCTCCAAATCATTCATATTTACCCTAGATGGCACTTGTCCAGTGCCATGTCCCACTTCCTCTTCCTGTCCTCACTGTTGCCTTTAACAGCCAGAGTCAAAATGCCCAGGCACCAGCACATGCAAAACACTCTTGGTTGTCCTGGAAAGCAGAGATGCTTTGGGCTTTGTTTTGACAGGCAACTGTACTATATTCTTTGGCATCACTGTATAGGTGGCAGAGTTCACACTATGTGTCTCCCTCCCGCCTGCCTGCGGTGGTCTTTCCTTGGTCCTTGGTACTGGCTTCTTTCCCACTCACCAGAGCTGTTGCTACTTTGGCTAAATCACTGTGTATCTCCTCCAGAGAAGTTATGCTGTTAAGACTTTTCTCCCACTGGGAATGAAAACTCTGCTTCTTTTAAGAGAAAGGAGGGTTTGTGCCAGCAGATGGAGATTCCTGCAATTGGGTCCTGGCTCTTGGTCCATGACTTCCCTTCTCATGAGTTCTAGGGGACTATTGGGGCAATACACAGTATCCAGATATAATAATAATAATAATATCAGTACATTTAGCTACCAACAGCAAAGTAAAAGCAATGCTCTAATAAAACTAACAGAGTGTCTTTGGATTTCAGGGAGCAGATCCGTCAAGGCCTAGAAGAACTCCAGAAAGTTCTGCCGGGAGGAGACACTTACATGCATGAAGGATTTGAAAGGGTAAGCTGAAAACAGTTTTCAAATTCAAATGTAAAGTGTGATATGGAAGTATCAACACCTGATGGTTAAAAAGATAAAATATTTGAACTTAGGGGACTGGGTAAGACCCAGTGGCAAGGGAGCATTCACCCTAAACCATGTGCACAAATAACTGTGTCCAGAAGAACTAGAAAAAAATAACTCCCCTTCCTCTTTCTATGGCACTGATGGAGGGTTTTTGGCTGATGATTGGCTGTCATTCATGAATACTGCTCTGTGCAAGGCTTCTCCATCCTAAATGGACGTGGTTGAGACCATTTCCGTGACCTCAGCTTTAAGAAAAACAAGAGTTGGACAATTTTAAGTGCATTTTAAGTTCATGACTCCAGTCTTAAATGAGAGAGTAACTTTATATGAAAACCATCCATCAAGGTGTGAAGGAAGCCTGAGCGAATTATACAGAGCATCCATCCTGAGCCCTGGCTGCATATCCAACACCAGAGCCCAGGGCCGATGTGTTTGCACAGGCAAGCTGTAGTTATCTTCCTTTCCTTCCTTCCTTCCTTCCTTCCTTCCTTCCTTCCTTCCTTCCTTCCTTCCTTCCTTCCTTCCTTTCTTCTTTCCTTTCCTTTCCTTTCCTTTCCTTTCCTTTCCTTTCCTTTCCTTTCCTTTCCTTTCCTTTCCTTTCCTTTCCTTTCCTTTCCTTTCTTTCTCTCTCTCTCTCTCCCTTCCTTCCTTCCTTCCTTCCTTCCTTCCTTCCTTCCTTCCTCCCTTCCCTTTGTTCTTTATTTCCTTTTTGACATTAACATTCTTTTTAAAAGTTATTTTACAATTATTTTATTTACGTAAGGTGAACAACTTCATGCACTTCACCACACAGCTTTAGGAGTTTAGTGGTACTTCCCACCTTCCCCTCTGTCCTGCCCATGTTTCCCACCCCCTCTCCTCCTCCCTTGTTTCTTCTTCTTTTTTAAAGTTTTTACAATTGCAAATTTTCACAGGCACATTCTTAATACTTCGTTAGGTGAAGAACTCAATGGAGAACAAGTAGAAAAATAAACATTGTTCCTGAAGAGAGTAGACAAACACTATAAACAATAATCTGATCTAAAGTATCAATTTCACTCATGCAAATTACATTTTTTGTACTCTGGGTATTAGCACAGAGCAGAGAAGGCATGTATTTGTCTTTTGGGACTGGCTTATTTCACTAAACATAATGGTTTTTACTACATAGATATATACACTATGGAGTGCTACTCAGCCATAAAAAATGAAATCCTGGGTTTGTTTTTTACAACAAGTGTGTGCAAGTAGTTATATTTCTGACATCTTCTTGTGTTTTTCAGGCCAGTGAGCAGATTTATTATGAAAACAGTCAAGGTAAAACTCTTGTAAAAATTACTATTATAAATTATTTAACTTTCCTCTGTGTAGACTTTTCAAAAAAAAAAATCTTAGTAATTTCATGTTCCAAAGCCATTTGTGATATTGTCTATAACGATTGTGCACACATGTCATCATGAAGAAAGAATGCATGGAAAGGTGGCATGTACTAAGTCAGATTTCACTGGCATATCTATGCCAAGAAACGTTATATAAAAGTAATTAAGCTCCCTATTATGGCTGCAGTCTGTAATCACCATGAAGCTTCACATGCTGAATTTATTAAATTAGTGCATACTTGGATGAGTTTAGCAAACTCTTGGATTTTTATGTCAGTTTTAATATTCTGAAGTTCCTCTGAGCTCCAAGCCTTTTTATTACTGTGATTGGGTATGATAATAAGATCAACATGCCAATTTGGTTTAACCTTTCTTTTATTTAATGAAAACAACATACTAAAAGGTAGTTAGAGGTGGCTAACACATAGAGATAATAATAATTATTATTATTTAGCTATTATTTCTACCATATCTTTCATAGCATTTTTAAAATCTCAGGCAGATGTCTTAAAACAGACTCGGTATTATGATGGTGATTTTCCTCTCATGCCTATGAAAGTGTCCACTTCCTGTTTCGCTCTAAACAGCAACAAATAGAGCAGACTTAGAATCCATACCAAAAGCTACTAATAGAAATCGATTATGAGCATTGCAACTACATGTCTACAAGTCACTATAAGAATTCTTGTAGGTTTCGTCGTCTGCTGTAGCACATTCAGCCTGCTTGTAAATCATGATGACCTTTGCCAAACTGTCTATAGGGATTGTGTGTACGGCCAAGGACCGCCAAACAGCCCAGCTGACAGTCTGGACAGCAGTTACATGGGTTTCAAAGGGAAAATAATCACACTTGAATCTGTTGGGCCAATGACCATTTTGCAAAGTGTGGCTGGTGTGTAAGACAGACTGAGGAACCCGGAGCAAAACTGAATTCCTCAGTTCCCCGTCAAAGCATTCTTGTGCTTGCCAGAGTTGTTTCCAGTCCCAAATGTGAGCAGGTGACTATCAAGAGATTGACTTTGGCTGGTTAAAGCTTCTAAGAGATCTAACCCTGGGACTGAGAGGTTCTCCCCTGGTGGGACAGGATGAACTAAGGTAGTCTGTGTTGTCTTAAACAGGTTACAGAACAGCCAGCGTCATCATTGCTTTAACTGATGGAGAACTCCATGAAGATCTCTTTTTCTATTCAGAGAGGGAGGTAAGGGCTGATTTGGCCTGTGTGTAAACAAACACCAGAAAATATGATTTCTCTTTTCTTTTTCTTTTTCCTTTATTTTTATTGAAAAGTCAAATTTACAGGACTTCTCTTTTCTGATGCAAGCTGTGCACTCAACTCAGGCAAAATGATGGATGATCTTGGCAAAATCCCTGAATGAAATTGTGTGCATATGTAAAAATAATGGCAGTAATAATTCATTTTTAAAGGGTGAATTTCCAGTTCTTAATTGAAATATGTAAGGGCCAGTCTTGTCAAAAAGCTTTTTCACTGTATTCCCACTGTAAGAATCAAAGCTGGATGATAATCGGTGGTAAAACTAACAGCAACCGCTCTCTCCTTCCATATTTCCACCTCCTTTTTGTTATGTCTTCAAAAGTTACTTCTCAAAGCAAGTGAAATAATTTTCTAAATGAAACTTTTGGTTTGTATAAACAGACTCCAAAAATTCTGAAGAACTAGAAAATAGAAAAGAAAAAGATAACATGGAAGCTTATTGACACTTTACTGGTGACAGAGACTCATTCTGCCCCCTGGTAGAGAGACTATAGCAAGGAGAAGAGTAGCCAGTGAGGGCAAGAGAGGCTGCATGCTGGCAGAGGAGTTGATCACATCAGTAAACTCACCTCAAGTTTGTAACTGCTATTTAATGTCCGTTCAGCCCCCTTAGCAAGTGTAAAGTGTGTATTTGTTTAGTCAATGTTAATTGACAGATTGTCACATGCTGGGGAACTTTAAAAAAAAAAGCATTTATTTATTATGATTGGAAAGGCATATTAACAGAGACAAAGAGTGACAGCAGGGGAAAGATCTTCAGTCTGCTGATTCTCTCCCCAAATAGCCGCAATAGCCAGAGCTGAGCCAGTTTGAAGCCAGGAACTTCTTCCAGGTCTCCTCAAGAAGTTAGGCCATTTTATGCTGCTTTCCCATGCCATAAGCAGGGAACTGAATCATCTGGGCATCTGAGACATGGGCTCGTGCCCATATGGGACGTTGGTGTTTATAGGTGGAGGATTAGTCCATTGAGCCATCGTGCTGACCCCCATCTTGGTCACTTTGGTAATCACAGGAGACACTGGTGAGTTTAACACAGTGGCTGCCCTCCTGGGTCTTGTTGTGAAGGGCTCTTTGAGCAAAGGTTCTAAGAAAATTAATTCCTTTTTCCCCTACCAGTACCATGGGGAAACACACCAGTTAATATCACATAGACTGCCAAGGCAAGTGTCTGGAAAGAATATATTTCTACAACGTAACCTTAAAATTATGTGATGGGAATGCAAAATGGCCTCTTTGGGTGTGAAATAATGGTCAAATAGAATAAAAACCCTAATAAGGAAAAAACTGGAAATAAAATCAATGTTGGATGTCATAGGCTTAAAATAGCAGTTAGTATAAAGGAATTTTAGCTATGGCACATATAAACTGGGAACACTATCCAGAATGCCAATACCAACAGAAGGAAGCTTTCTGAAAAAGAAAAATTAAGCTCAAAATCTAGAGAAATTGGACCTTTCCATTCTTGATAATTCTGTGCAAAATCTAACTAAATGAGAAAAGTCACAGAATTGTTATAGATAATGTTGGGGTTAAACTGAGTCTGTTCAATCCTACAAGGAGCAACAGTAACCTAACATATGATCGAAAAAAGTTTCAATCTTTTCAATCTAAGTTTCTGTTTTTTCTATAATTCAATATTTAGTTGTCATAAGTGGGTTTGAGTTCTGAGAGAGGAGAAAAACAATTCAAATGAACGTGTTATTCGTTGTGCATTTGCTGTATGGCTACTATCAATTGAACACCTATTAAATGTGCCAAGAATTTCCAATATTTATTTTCTATTTTCACACACAGGAGAATCTGAAAATTAGATATCAGAGTCTTTAATAAATCTAATGCTAGAATTAAGGCAACATCTAGATGTCATTCATTTGTCACTCTCGATGATTAATTATAGAGAAAGTTATGAGTTCTTCTATTCCTATATGGACCACAATTGCCTATCATTAGACTAATTTATTCACAAAGAGTGCATCTCACTTAATCCCCAAAACACTTTACAGAGCAATGCCAGGCATCAAACTCAGGCATATCAGATTCCCAGTACTGCATTCTTTTGTGCAGCTTTGCTCTCAGTGACATTCTACAAGTATGTAAAAAATCTATCTGATTACTCAAAAAGATGCTCACTTCCCAGAATATTTTTTTTATGATTTAGCCTGATTTCCCTCTCCTCTCCTTCCACTTTCAAAGCCCTTGGCCAGGAGTCCACTTGGAAGAATCTTTTAAACACGTCTCAGTGGACTAAGCCCTCCCTCCAAGCCATCATGTCCCAATGTGGTATTCATGGGAATGTGAGCTCTTTGAGGACAGAGATTACGTTTCCCAATATGACACCTGACATAGAGTAGGTGCTCAGTAAATACCAGATCATTGAATTAGCCCAGCATTTTCAAGAGGAATGGTTTGCTGTTGCTTCTGCCTCTGACACCATTTCTTCCCTTGCCAGGCTAACAGATCCCGAGATCTTGGCGCAATCGTTTACTGTGTTGGTGTGAAAGACTTCAATGAAACACAGGTATGACCATGGAGTTCCTCAGGTGGGGGACACACTGAGCTTGTGAGTGATGCTGAGAGCATGTGCATTTAATAGCAAGGGCCCATTCACAGGAAAAACATTCTTGAGATGGATTATTCTTCCAGAAATGCTAAGCAGAAAGGAAGTACTGGATGCAGTACGAACGTGAAATCAGTTGCTGATGCATGTGGGGTCTTTAATTCAAACGTTCCAGGCAACCACTTCCTTGATTCAACTTTTTTGGTTGACATTACAAAGCAGTGAAAATAGTGTGTACTCAATATAGCATAAATATGCACATATTTGCACTGAAAAAGTATGAACGACTGTACTATGTATCAAATTGTTTATAAAGATAGTATGAAGTATGAAGCCTTGGTTTTCTTTTTATTTTAATTCTTCTTATTGTTTCTAAATTTTCACAGTGAGTATGTGTTACTTTTGCAATCCATAAAAGCAAAGATATTCTTAAAAACCATACTCGCTAGTGTTGAATCTGACTGTGGCCATTCCAGAACTGCAGAAAGCATTGGGAATAGAAAAGCTCTCAGATCAGCTTCTCCTTTCCTCTGATCATAAAGCAAGAATGGGCAAACCAAAAGCAGGGTCCTATACCTTAATCAGCAGCTTGGGTGAATGGTGAGGGTCCCAATTCTTTGGCCTTGCCCAACACAAAAGCCTGGGTTTATTTTTCAAGTTGCTTAAAAAAAAGACTTGGGTCTTTTTGATTTAAATAAAGTTGCCAGTAGGAATTTGGGTGAGTGGGAGAAAACTGAGCCAATGGCTTGTCCCCAGATCCATAAATACAACTACTCAAGCCAAATGCTCACTGAGCTGAGCAATCTTACCTCTGATCCAGGGGGAAAAAAGTACTAAAACAAATCCAAGTGCCAGCGCCAACCCTGGGCCTGCTCCAGAGAGGCCCCTGGTAAGCTCATCATGCCTGAAGAAGGCTCTTTGGTGAGAGCCCTGAGCCCTCACCTTTCTGAGTTCTGAAAGTTAGGTGGAGGTCCCACAAACCTAGTTCTCCTAAATTCTCCGTGGCCAAACCTGACACCTCTCCATTTGCTTTGCCCTCAGCTGGCTCGCATCGCGGACAGCAAGGACCACGTGTTTCCTGTGAATGATGGTTTCCAGGCTCTGCAAGGCATCATCCATTCGGTGAGTAGAGTTCCTCATTTCGAGGCTGCCTGCCCAGGCGCTTTCTGCCCGAAGATTACTGGAAACACTCATATTCCTGCTCCCTGAGGTGGTGGTGTTCTGCTTGATAGAACATTGCTGCATATATCTTTATGTCTGCCACGTCCACATCTACCTCCTCTGCCTCTCATGCTTTTTTTTTTTTTTTTTCATTCTCCTGGATCAATTCTACCTTACAATGGAAAAGTTGAAAATTGAAAGGGACCCTGCCTGGGCTGTGAGCCAAACTTCAGGCAGCGTCTTGGTTCTCATAGAACACCGACTGTGGGATAGTGTACACTTAGCTGAACTCAGCACTGCAGATGTGACTGAAGGCAAACTACCTGCAGAACATTTGCAACTGGACCTCAATTGCTTGGCAGGTGGAGACACATTAGACCCAGCTGCTCACTGAAATTTCCTGGAAACAGATGCCCCAGCCTCTGCTTTAGGTGCTGTTTGGGCTTCAGAAACATTTTCTATCCCCGCAGGTGATTCTGGCAGTCAGCAAGAATAGGGCCCTACCTTCGACCTCTAATCTCAAACACAAGAGCCTCAGAGTTCTACAAGATTTGCTCTGTGCCCTGCTCCTTTTCATGCACACAAATGACTTTCTAGAGTTTTTCTCCCTGATGGTGAACAGGAACCTGACTCCCAGGGCCTCTCTGCTCCATCTTTCATATGCTGGCCAGACACCTGGCCCGACACCTGGTCCAGCTGGAATATTGGATCCTGCTGGTCTTTCAGGCCTTAGCTGGCAGTCCATTGTGCTCACTGCACCAGTAATGATGCCAGAGGGGCTGCAGTTTCACCCTTCAGGTTTTGTGACCAGGCAGACAACACGTGGTCATGAGCAGAAGTTTATCACACTCCAGACTTTGGGTCTAGGATGTTAATTCAGAGCTTGGAGGATTCCTGTCTTTCGAGAGGGCTTGGATTCCTGGGATTACCAGTCAGTGACTTGGGACCTAACAGCTTCCACAGACCATCCCTTTAATGCACCAGCATGCCTGTGCCTCCCTGATACTCCTGCTTCCAAGGTCCATGAGGAGCTGCAGCGGAGTAGAAAACAAAGGAGAATGTAAGGGACCTTGGAACCATCCAACCCAGAGTTTGCTAACCAAGCGCTTACCACTTAGATGCCTGATACTTTCTGTTTTGTGAAAAGGAAGTTATGAGAAGACTAGCATGGTAGATTTGTTGGAGGATTACAAGGGTTGTTCATGAAAATCTCAAATACTTTACCAGGAAAATTATAAGTGCTCAAACACACCAAGCTTTTTGCTTCCTGTCCACAGCATATGAGATACATTAATGTCAACTTGAATCTGCATTAAAGTCACCTGGGAATCATGTTTACCAGTTCCTTCCAAGAACTTCTTCCCATTTGAGATGGTTGCAATGAATTTAAACATCTTTTAAATACACATTTAAAAAATAAGTGTCTCCAGTATATTTTTAGAACATTAATATACATGACCTTAAGTTTTCAGAATTACAAAATGTTATTTCACTCAGGTTAGGCATTCTTATCTTAAATACATACAGGTGACAGTTATCTTACTCAAGATGTATTGTTCACAAAGAATAAAGACATATTCAAATGAGGAATGATAGGGAAGTATCCAAGCCAACTATGAATTCACAGGTTAGGGGTCTCTGGGACCACTGTGGCATGCCTAGTCATAGAGATAACGAGAACCACATGTGAAACAACAACTCATGGCATGGCTACAGCACTGTGGCATGGTATGGCTAAGTTTCCACCTGTGACACTAGCATCTCATATGTGTAACACTTCAAGTCCTGGCTGTTCCACTTCTGATCTAGCTCCGTGTTTATAACTTGGGAAACGGCGGGGAATGGCTCAAGTTCTTGAATCCTGCACCCAGGTGGGAGACCTAGAAGAAGCTCCTGGCTTCAAACTGACTCAGCTTAGGCCATTATGGCCATTTTGAAGAGTGAACCAGCGGATGGAAGATTTCTGTTTCTCTCTCTCTCTTTCTCTTTCCCTCTCCCTGTCCTATTTGCCTTTCAAACAAAACCATAAAATAATTTTAAAAAATTTTAAAACAAACAACATCTGAAGCAAAGATTTCAGGCTAATCCTGAATCCTTTGAAGCTCAAGGTGCATTATTCTGGTCAGGCACTATTGTGAGAAGGTGGAGCAGACCAGGAAAACTGAAAGAACAGGAAAGGATGTGGAGTGGCACCAGAGGGGTGTGTGACCTCAGCTTCATCTGCAGCCTAAAGAGTGAAACAGATTCAGAGGACAGTAACAGCAAGATCTAACCATTTAGTGGAAGATACTGGGTAATTGTGTAAGTAATGAGAAAGAAGCCTAGATATTGAATTGAAATTGAAACATTTATATTTTTCAAAGGGGCTTTGACTGGAACCCATAATAATGGGTATTGTCACTGAAACATTTTTAATATGTAACTAATGTCATTTCAGAAGAGATTCTATTGGGGGTGAGCAGGTGCTCAGGGAAGAGAATAGGGCCACCCAGAGGCTGCAGCTCAATAAGAAGCTATGTCCCAAGTCCGACTTTCAGATGCCTGTCTGCCTAACAGGGACAATTATTTTTATCTTTAGCAGTGTGTGTGAGCCTAACATCATCCAACAGTTGAGTCCTTCACAGATAATTCGGATCTTTTTATCTATCTTGAATATTTCACCCTTGTCTCCTTAACCAATCTACACAACTTTATAAAACTTCTCCCCTCCCCAGATGGAAACAACTCCAAAAGAGGTTTTAGAATTTTTAGCAAAACAGTTTCCCAAAAAAGGAAAGAAAATTGATTTTACACTTGAAGCTCCCAACTTTTAGCTGAATGATAACATTCATGTAAGCTTTTGTCTGAGCATCAGGCTGGTAATATTGGCCTTCCTAGCATTTGCAACCCATTCTTAAGACTGTTGTTAATTGATTTGCTTGGACAGAGACACAAGGACACGCAGAGCAGGACTCTCCTTTCTCAAACCAGACAGAAACAATTATGGCCCAAAGTGGGCAGCTTCTTAAAAAGTAGATTCATTTCCCCTTTCACATACTGAAATGAAAGCTCTCATTTTTTTCCCATTCTGAAATACCAGTCCCAGCTTTTCTCGTGGGTGATGTTTTTGTGGCTGGTTATTTTCTCATGATAAAGTAGGTCTGGGGTTACCTATCCAAAATAAGATGACACAGCAGCATCTAGGAGGTTCAGAAGATTCTCTGCCTGATTTTAAAACCTCCATGAAGGGGCAGGGCAGGTATTTATTCATCCATCAAACACTCATTGAAAACCTTCCACGGCAGGCACAGGTCACTCAGTTGTAAGTTAAGCAAGTGGAAACTCTGTCCTGATGTGGCTTAGAATCTAGTGAGAGAAACGCATAAAAAGCAATTAAATAAATATATGCAATTAAAATGGTCAGAAATATTATTTTTTAAAAGGAAGATAATAATTCCAGTGCCTAAAAAAACCCACCAAGACTTCTTGAGCATCTCCTCGCCAGCAGCTCCTGGGCTCACCATTTCACACCATCACCACCACCATCCCTGACAAGAGATTTACTGTCCTCATTTGTAGGTGAGGAGAAGGAGGTACAGGAAGATTAGCTGGGCTGTCCCACATTCACCTGCTCATAGTAATGGACTGTGATTTTTTTTTTCATCTCATTTATTTGAGAGACACAGAGTTCTGGCAAGCTTCCAGTTCCTGGGTTCATCACTACTGCCAGCCAGGGTCCACATTAGCAGGGAACTGGAATCAGGAATAGAACCCAAGGACAGAGCCCAGAGATGCCTGTGGTATGTGGCCATCTTAGCTGCTGGGCTCAATACTCACTTCCTGGAATGGGAAACTTGAATCCTGGCTCCAAGAATGCCACCTTTCTCATAACACCTAGCTGTAAATGCCTGAGGAAATGGACAGTCGTTGTGGGACTGCCAGAAGCTGGTTATCTTGGAGGTAACCGTCAAGTTGGATAGCATGTTGTATTCTCAGACTTCACTTTGGTTTTTCCCCACTCGTCACTGAAGGTCAGATTTATGCAATGTGCTACTTTTCCAAGTGCTCACGCTTGTTTTCCTCTTTAACCCCTCAAGGAAAGGAACTAGAGGAAAAAAAAAAAAAACAGAAGAAAATCCACTGTGGTGAACTTATCAGGGCACCAGACAGGGTCCCTTTGTCCCATTTAATATTATCCCAATTGAAAAATCATAACAATCCTGTAAATATTCTTGGCTTCATGTTACAGATGAAGCAGCTGAAGCTCAGATAACAGCAAGCATTTCTAAAGAGGAAAAGTAGAGTGGGACCCCAGTCCCATGATTCCAGATGCCATGTTTCCTTAGGAAGGTAAAAATGATGACACAAGCATTTGGAGAATTGGTACAGTGCAAACCATTTAAAATGGCAAGTGCTGTGATGTAGATATTATCACTCCATCTGTGGAAGTCGATACTGTAATATCAGAGGGATTTGTTAACTTGTTCAAAGCCACACAGTGAGTAGAGATCTCCAACAGATGTAGGTCTGTCACTAATACCCATCACCAGCCGCTACTCAATGATACAGATGGACCAGGAAGCAGCTCCGCTTCCGAGAGGAAAGCACTGAGCACAAGAGTCATGAAACAGCATGGCACGGCTCTTGTGGGTACAGCACTAGCAAAATCAGAATCCGTGGAGCCAGAGAGGCAAGGAAGGCTCCCTCAGTTCTTAGCTGGCGGTTCAGGGCCAGCCTCTCAAAGAGCTGGCAACTTGACATTAAGGCTTTGCAGACCACCAGTTGAGTATTTCTGCTAAGTTCTTATTTCTACTCAACACATGAAGAAACTCAATAAAATTGTCCGTAATTCCAGGAGACTGTAAAGGTTGCAGAAGACATGTCCAGGTTGAATGAGAACTTTGGACCATGGCAGCATTCCTATTTGCTTTTGCCGACAACGGTGATAAAATTAAAAGGGAAAAAGTGGATGGTTGGAAGAT